GGTGTCTATTGTAAAGCAGAGAACAATCGGGGGGCAGCTATCACTTAATTCCTGGGCTCCCTGAGTGAGGCTAGGAGTAAAGGTTCTCACAGATTGAAGTTGGACTGGAAGGTATGTGTCAGATCATGTTCAAGCCCCTGGTCGGTCTCCAGTACTTGAGGCCCTCCTGAGACAGTCAGTGTTCTTGGGCCCTTGACAGAGTGTTGATGATGGCAGAGTGGGCCATGGGCAGGTGGTAGTTACTGTTTGCTCTGGGCCTGGGGTTCCTGTTTCCCTTAGGACAAGACTTGACAGCAAGATGTTATCTCTAGAAATGAATGACCTCATGAGTCTCATGATTAAGGTCTTGTAGGGCCAGTGGCACCACTCCCTCAGAGGTCAGTTTGTAATCCTGAAACGGAGAGGAAACTGGAAGAAGGGAGGATGGGAGACTGCCGGAGACCAGGACCTGGCGGTATCTAGCGTCTGCATTCGACGTACTACATGGAGGCTCAGTGTCATTCTAGGTTTTATTTATTTTTTTTTTTTTTGACAGGCAGAGTGGACAGTGAGAGAGAGAGACAGAGAGAGAAAGGTCTTCCTTTGCCGTTGGTTCACCCTCCAATGGCCGCCGCTGCAGCCGGCGCACTGCGCTGATCCTGGCAGGAGCCAGGAGCCAGGTGCTTTTCCTGGTCTCCCATGGGGTGCAGGGCCCAAGCACCTGGGCCATCCTCCACTGCACTCCCTGGCCACAGCAGAGGGCTGGCCTGGAAGAGGGGCAACCGGGACAGAATCCGGCGCCCCAACCGGGACTAGAACCCGGTGTGCCGGCGCCGCAAGGTGGAGGATTAGCCTATTGAGCCACGGCGCCGGCTCATTCTAGGTTTTATTTTCACCCTCTCACTTGCCCCGCAGAAGACAGGAAGACTAAAGGTACTGGAGTTGGGTATTTCTCCTCCTCCAGGTTGGTTAAGGTCTGGTAAATATTTTGTCCTGGGGATAGGGTTTTTTAAGGACAATGCCTGGGGTGTATTTATACCTGCCTAATATGTCATGCTCCCTCTTGTGGAGGGACAATGTTGTGTCTGACCTCCACCTTGAGAAGCTGATAGTGCTTTCGGGGGTAAAACTCATGGCACTGTAGTACTCCCCTAATGACAGGCTCTCCCTAGAGTTATTCTCTGTCAATGTGTCCACACTGGCCCATCACCCCTGTGTGGGGAGCAAACCGGACTGGACTGAGTTACTGGAATTAAGACTTATTCTATGCATCTGCTCTCCCACAATATGGCGCTGGGAGAGAAGTAAACAGCTTCCGCACAGCTGCCTCCAGTTCAACCAATAAACTGTAGGACTTGCTCCTGATTGGAGAGCAGCGTACTCGGCGTGTGGGCAGCCGAGTTGGGATTGGCGGAGGAGGACTATAAAGGAGGAGAGAGACGGCATGCACGGAGGAACATCTAAGGGGAACATCTGAGGGAACACCTGTGCAGCCCCCGAGAGAGCCGGCCGGCGGTGTGCCGCTCCCCCGCGGAAGTGGGGAATGTGGCAGGGGGAACTGCCCTTCCACGGAGGTGGAAGGGACAGTAGCCAACCCGGGAAGAACCAGCAGCAAACCCGGGGAGGGCCGAGCAGACAGAAGAACAGCGCAGGGTCCTGTGTCGTTCCTCCACGAAGAGGGGGAGCGACACCCCTGTATGAATTACAGAATAGGACTCTTTCTTAAATTTGGGGGCATGTCAAAAAAAAAAAAAAGGGCCGGTGCCGCGGCTCACTAGGCTAATCCTCTGCCTTGCGGCGCCGGCACACCGGGTTCTAGTCCCGGTTGGGGCGCTGGATTCTGTCCCGGTTGCCCCTCTTCCAGGCCAGCTCTCAGCTGTGGCCCAGGAAGGCAGTGGAGGATGGCCCAAGTACTTGGGCCCTGCACCTGCATGGGAGACCAAAAGCACCTGGCTCCTGCCATCGGATCAGCGCGGTGCGCCAGCCGCGGTGCGCCAGCCGCAGTGCGCCGGCCGTGGCGGCCATTGGAGGGTGAACCAACGGCAAAAGGAAGACCTTTCTGTCTGTCTCTCTCACTGTCCACTGTGCCTGTCAAAAATAAATAAATAAATAAATAAATAGATAGATAGATAGATAGATAGATAGATTTGGGGGCAGTAGCTTGCCTGTGATCATAGTGGTCTGAGGCATCTAAGAGTTGCTGACTTTGTCAGCTCAACTTTTCTCTTTTGTTCCGGAGAGAGCGCATCTTAAGTTCCTTGAGCCACACCAGAAACTTGTACTCTCTAGTGCTTTTTTCTGGATAGTAATAGGATACTTTGCATTTTCCTACTCTCTCTCTGTTCTGCCAGAGGCATATATTCTATTTTATGGTGGAAAAGAAGAAAACAAGTCTTCTTTATAATAGAGGACAATAAAAAGAAAAAGTTCAATTTGAGTCTGTTGACTTGGAGGAAAAATACTTAATTTTTAGGTAAGTGCGGAAGACAAGTTAGAGACAGTAGTACAGTGCTTTATATAAAAGAGCAAAACCTGCAATATCCTTACGGCTAGGCTGAGAACTAAAGCCATGTCCGCCCACAGGGCTTGTTACATTCAGATGACTTTCCACCGTCTTCACTGGCACAAATGTAGACGCTTGCCTGGGGAACTAGTGTTCCTTAGAGAGACTTCCTGAAAGACACAACTCTTCAGCAGAAAGTATCAACTGGGAGTTACACCCCCCCCCCATTCTTTAATATGCCCTCCAATTGCTCACCTCGCTATTTCCACCGATCCTAAACTGTAGCGTGACCTTTGCGGAATTCTGACATTGAAAGAGATGGTTTTCAATCAAATGTCAATGAAGTCTGACGTTGATCTTTTTCTGCAAAGAAACTATCAAAGCTCCATCCAGGTCGCATTCTCCCTTATCATAGTGATTCACACATTCGGCTTCATGTTATAAATAGGTTCTATGGTGACGTTTGAGGAACTGGCACTTGGAAGTATGTGTGTTTGCATGCGATTCTCTGGCCAGAAAGGCGCAGATGTAATCACATAGCCTATTAAAGCCGATTGCCTGGTGGGAGGTGTGTTCTAAATTAATTTTGTGTTATTTCATTGGTTATGGTGGACACATGTCCATTTGATAATCCTGAAGGAAGAATTTAATTGGAATTTTTACAAGTGCATTGAAAACCACATATATTTACCTGAGAAACCTGGAGTCCGTTCTCTTTGAGGTTTATACTCACACAATGAGTCTTGCCTCATAGCTGTTCTTGGGTTCACAGACAGAGAGGCCTCACTCTTGTACTTAGCAAAAACTGGTATTTTACAATGCAAACATTCTTAGTGCAGACAACCATATGCGTAAGTATTGCTGGAGCTGCAGGTCTGGGATAAGGCAGTCTGTATTTCCAAGGTTTCCATGTGTGCAGATGCTACTGCTAGTCCAGGGACCACAGTTTGAGAAACACTGATTCTGCAACCAGCCACGCTTAGAAGGGCCCTTGGGCGCCATCTCAGATAGATCTGGTTTTGGGAACCTCTCTGGTCTTTTCTGTCGATGACACTGAATTCACAAGGCATTTTTTCTTACATAATGGAAACCTTTGACGACGTTAATGCATATCACAACTACAAGGTTTAGAATTATAGGACATGCCCCTCCATCTTCCCAGTTGTAGAGGAAACTGACGCTCAAGTCTGTGGCAAACTCCCGTTCAAGGCCATGGGCACAATCTCTCATCTGAAAAATTACAGTTCAGTAAGCAGCCTCCGAAAAGGAGGTCGTGAGAGACCCTTCATCCCTACTGCAATTTCTGGTTCCAGGGAATATTGGTTATGTGGTATCTTCTATTGGAAATGAAGAGGTTTGTATGTAGAGCAATGCACTGAAAGGGTCAGATCTACAAATAGTTTCATTTAAGATCATGTCGCTAGTGCTGTGAACACACGCAGTGTGGCTCAGGCTGACGCAGCCATGGTCACGTGCCAAACCGGGGGCCCAGAAGAGACTTAGACTGGAGCTGTGGCACTGACTTGGTTGAGAGGCCAGGCAGCGTTTGGGCAGTCTGGAGTCTGTCCTTAGTGTCGGGACTGGTGTTGGTTCCAGAATTTCCCTGGGGGAAGTCATGCTTAGGACGTCTGGTTGGATGTGGACCTGGAGGACTCGGTGTGAAGCTAAAATTGTGCAGTGAGCAAACCCTGCCAGGTGCCTGTGGAGACCACGGGGCCTAAAGACCTTTCCCCAGCAATCTCTTGATGGTTTCAATGGGAGGCAGGCAGGCCAGCAGGACTCTGGGCTCTTCCTGTACTCACGACTGGCCCCTAGCGGATGGGTGAGCCACTGCAGTAGTGATCAACAAGGCAGGCTCTCGGGAGCATTTAGGCTCCCACAGCTGGCTATTAGGGAGCAGCTTGTGAGAGCAGAGCCAGGGCAGCAGGGCTCAGCCAACGCTGGACCTCAGAGGAACGTTCCGTTCTCAGCCATGGACCCAGACGACTTAGCCAGGCCTTTGTTACATGTTACATGCCTACTGTGCCAGCAAGTGCCTGGCACGTGACCTGAGGCATATCCGAAAGTTCTGTCCCAGGCCTTACCACTGGGGAGGTGGGAAAGGGCTCTGGAGCGAGCTTACCTCCCGAATCCACCTTTGGTGTGCTCAGCCCACACCGTCTCCACTGCTGTATTCCTGTTTGTAAAATGGGAACGCGAAGTGCCTTCAGAAGGCTCTGAAGCAATGCGACTGACAGACAGTACTACGCTGGCACCTGGGAAAGAACTAGGCCTATTTAATGCTTGAGGCAAGGCTGAGCAGTGCCTTTGTGTGGCCTGGCCCATGGCGCCTCCCTCGTGGCGCACACACACCTGGATTCTCATTCTCTCTCTCTCGTCCCTTCCAAGGAGCCTCCCTGGCCCCCTTCAGGAAACAGTCCCCTCAAGCATGAGGGGGTCACTCCCTTAGGACTCAGGAGTAACAGGCAACACTGGAGAGCTATGGTGTCTCGTTACTAGGAAAGCACCAACGCCACGGTTTTGAAATTACTGGAATTTTATTTGCCTCAGGCTTATGACTTGCAACCAAAGACATTGTGCAAAGAAAGCAAAGATTAAGTACACTTTAGGGAGAAGGAGACGATACACATCGGTAACATAGGAGATCAGGTTGACCAAAAAAGCCATCCAGTACACTATATAGATTGCAATATTCAATAGCGTTTTCAACAAAACTTTTTTTGAAATCAAGAGCAAAAAAAAAAATTTTAAGCAATGTTTACAGTAGACATAAATCTTATACAATTCAAAAAGCATCGTTTTCAGATCATAGAGCATAAAATGGAAAAATGTCTATGCAGGTGAAATGTGACTACTGTACATTTATCACCTATTAAAGTTGCTTATATGTACCACAGTGTAAAAAAAAATACCGAACAAATAAAAACCTGGAAAATTGCCTGATGAAAAATAAAATAACCAGTGGCTTTTAATGGCTTCTCCTGGTTATCAGTGCTACAAAAGACAAAAATCTTCTCATCTGAACGGGTGATAAAACCAGGCACAATCAAACTATTACCAAATTAGACCCACCCATAGAAATATACTATCCACCCACATATTTTCCATCAAAAGATTGGTTTGTTTTTAATCTTTGAATCTTTGAGGCCCATTTGGTCACAATATGTTACAAATGTTGTGTGTGTGTGTTTTTACACCATGATATCATATGTTTGTCTGGCACTATCCTAAAGCTAGTTTATAGATGAGGATGATGACAGGGCCCAGTGCCACTATGACAAGTAGGTTCACTGGGCAGAGAGGGGAAGGAAGGAAGTCAGTTTTACCAAGGAAAAAAGGTCCAGACTGTTCATTCATCATCAGTCCCGCTTGCTTCCGACTGTTCCTAGAAGGAAAAACAAGAGGAAATGAAATAAAATCCCAGGAACGAGAGGAGACACCTTAATAAGCCATGGGCAGGCAGAGAAAGAACAAACGGCCTTTGAGAAACAGCGGAGGCTCCACATCTTTCTGCAGGAAGACAGAAGCACACCCAAGAGGCACTGACAGCAGTAAGGCCAAGAAGAGGGCTTGTCATTAAAATCCGAATGCCACACGCACCCCCACTTTTGCTAGTGGGTGCTCCCCTTCAGTCTGGGTTTACAGGTTTGTGGCTAAGTACTCTGTGTTTTTAGCCCTATGCCTTGGAAGATACACGGGAAGGAAAAACATCATGTATTTCCTGTCTGCTCCACTTGTAAGTGGTATGAGGAAAACACAGGGCTTTCAATGCATTTGAAAACAATAGTGCCCAGTGGTTAAGGCTGGTGTAAGATGATGACTCTGAAACTTACCATCATACTAACATGGACATGAGTTCCCAGAAAGAAAAAAAAAAATTGGCAGGGAAAGTAGAAGGAAGGTAGGGCAGGTTCAAATGCCACTGTCCTGTGCTGTGCAGACTTGGTCTGATTTCAGCTCTGCTGGTCACTTGCTAGATGACCTGCAGCAAAATGGCTAAATCACTCTCATGTTTTGAGAGTGGCAGCACACGATGCTGGGATAAATATGTACCAATACAGGAAGGCACCTATTTCCAGGCCTCAATCAATGCTCCCTGAGGTTTTTCAAACATTAAAAAAACAAAAAACAACAAAAAAAAAACCCTTAGATGCTTAAAAAGTCATTTGGGTTTTCATATGGCACCTTACTTAGCAACTCAAGTCCAAAACTCTGACATCCCAACACCTTTTCTCATTCTTCCATCTACTATATACAAGGCAGCACGACAGGCGTGATAGATACAAAATCGAGTTCTCTTCTCCCCTTTATTTTCTGCAGACTACTGAAGCAATGCACAGAGCCCCCAGATCTGTGGTCTAAGTCCTGCTGCTGTGTTCCCGACCTTCAGGGACGGCATCTCGCCCATCGACTTTGTCACCCACAGGTGAGAGGGAGCAAGATGCCAGCGCTGCACTCACGTTCTCATCCTGCTCCTCGTCGCTGTCAAAGTCGCTCACGACAGGCTTGGCTTTTCCTCGATTTGGCCTTTTCTTCCCTTTTCCTTTGTCTCGGCTTTTCTCATCTTTTTTATTGAGCTTGATTTTCACCTTAACCGATTTCGCTATGCAAGAACAAACGAAAGAGCCATCAGTGAGGAGACACGCAGCAATGCTTTTCACGAACCAGTGACGAGGCGAGCAGCCACCGATGACCGGCCACATGGTCAGGGTGCCTAGGAACTTCCCAGCTCCTGCCGTCCTGTCCAGTCGGTGGCCCCACACACGCACGCCTCTCTTTGGCAGATGAACGCTGTCACAGTACACAGGCCACGCGAGGGAAGGCGGCCTCCCAGGCAGGGTCCTTCTCTCCCGGCTCCTGCAGGCAGACGGCGGGAATGGGAAGCGCCTTTCCTATTTCAGGGAAGTGTTCAGGATGCATTTAATGGGGGGAAGGCTGCAGAGGATGCATGCAGATCACTCCATCAGATGGAAGCAGAAGGAAAATACCAATAGTTGAATAATACTTTTACCACAGGATGTAAGAGAGTAAACACTCCTCTCCCTCAGCCTATTATTTCTAGGGCGGTGGGGAATGTGTGACAAAGGTGCTTCGACCAGTTCGTGGAACAAGGCATTAAAGGATAAAAATCTGTGAAATGCATGCATTTTTCTGCACACTTTCTGAAGACCTCTCCTATACCTGAATTACCTATGTATTTATCCCAATAGGATCTTTGTAGCTGGTTATATTTCACATATGTGGGATGAGCGTACCCATCAGCTCATGCCTACCTTCCTCAATGTTTGTACCACCTGAAAAGACCCCCTTGTATGACATGCTATCATGTACTCAACCGGTCCCCTCGGGCTGGAGTGGCCAGCTGGTTTTTGCCTCTATGAACAAACTGCTGTAAAGCTCTCGTCAGTAGCTGGAGGTGGTGTGGTGAACGCAGCCCTTGGCCCATTTCCAACAGTGCTCTGCTACAGTAGCCTTCAGGAAGACTGTACCCAGTTGTGTTCTCACAGAGCTAGACTGGGGACAGAAATAACAACACGTGCAGGAGTTATCTCAAGGAATCAACAAAATGGCCTTGTTCTGGAATAAGATTTGATGATGAAGTCTATGCGGGTCTCCCATTCCAAAAGGCTTTGTTAGGAAATCATGTTTGTTGGCAGTGAAGGGCCAAGAAACAGAGGACTTCAACAAGTTTTTAGAAAATAGAATTGAAAGCATGACTTTATTCTAGTGCAAATTTTTTGAAAATGCAATGCAATAAATGCATGCTTTTAATGTGTACTTTTCAATGAACCCTGGTAAGTACCATTGTAGAAATTGGAATCCTACATCCAGAAGGAATCTTTCTAAGTATTTAATTTGTTTGAAATGGAGAGAGAAAGATCCTGTTACCAGGAGCTTCCTCCAGGTCTCCCACATGGGTGCTGGGACCCAAGGACTTGGGCCATCTTCCCCTGCTCGCAAAGATGCATTACCAGGGAGCTGTCAGGACTCAAAGCGGCACCCTTATGGGACGCCCGCATAGCAGGTGGTGGCTCAACCTGCTTCACCACAGCTCCAGCCCCCAGAAGGAATCTTCGAGATGAACATTTTCAGACTCCTTTTGTCAAGCGACTTACAGAACTTATGCCAACGTGCAGCCTTCCGAGGAAATGTAAGCAAACAAGAGCAGGGATGGTGTGAATGCTTTCCCCGCATCTGAACCAGGGCAAATTGTAGTCCCAAGCCAGTCCTCCTAGCTCAGGCATGGCTGCAGCTTAAACTGTGGGGCAGGAACAGAGAGCTCTGCTGTGGGTGCAGTAACTTAGAGATGAAAGGAGGCCTTCCTGCTAGTGGGGATACAGAAAGATGCAGGGCCTCGAAGAAAGAAACTGATGCCGGCAGCCGGTCCTACTTGACTTTGCTAAGATGTCTGTCTACGCAGGTGGCGTCCTTTCTGAGATGGAAGTACTGGAAATCCATGTGACCCATGGAAAGGCAGACGGCTGGTAATGAAGCTAAGGGAATGCAGCCCGAATCAGGAGGTGAGACGATCAGGCTTGTCTGGGAGTTGGTGGCTGCGGGCCAGCAGGTGAGTCCTAAAGACAGGTTTCACGAAGGATATCTCATATACATTCATATGATATCCATGTCCAATCCCAGAAGTTTCCAATCGGTTCATGGAAAAACTACACAGGGGTTTTAAAAGGGTTCTTTGCACCCTATTTTTCTTTGTATTCTATAGAAGTAGTCTCCTATGAGTTCATATACCCAATTAGGGGAAAGGGTCATAAGAGGCTGCAAAGTTAGGTTGCAAAACGGCATTCCAAACTGCGATAAACATTTTTGTGTGGAAAGGCAATGGAAGGCACCTTGTCAAAGTGTTAAATATATATATATGGTAATAGAGATACTTTTTTCATTTAAAAGCATTGTCTAAAGTCATGAGTACACAATTAGAAATCTGATATTTTTTTCAAAAGCATGTCTGTACTATTTTACAATCAGACTGCAATGAATGGAATGTCTTAGGAGGTTTGGGGCGAAAACATGATTAGACAGGAATTTCAGACTTCCAAAGCAGTCTTTCAAAATCTAAGGTTATCCACACGGCTTGAACGTGGGTGAGAAAATGGCAGAACTTCCCTAGGGTGTCAAGTTTACGGGGACACCAAATATTCTAAATATGCAAGTTTTAAAAACTCCAAAGTGATGCAAAACAGTTTCTTGGGGGCTAGAGGACATAACACCGTCTGCAGATAATGGTCAAAGCACGGTCCTCATCAGTGGTAGCCTGTATCTCTTGGGCGGGCAGCTTGGCAGTCCACACCACGCAACCCTCCTGGGTTGATGCACTGCCAGTACACTCGCCATGAGCCTCAGACTGGGGCACAGCGGCAGGTGGAGGAGCCCCAGGGCCAGGCTCACCTTCAGACTCGGACTCCTCCTCCTCTTCCTCTTCCTCCTCTTCATTGCTCTCATCCTCGCTCTCCTCCTCTTTGGCAATTTTCTGCCGAGCACTCTTGAACACTGACTGTAAGACGATGGAGTCTTCGTAGATCTAAAAGGTCAAAGGGGCATCTGTTAAAAGCTGAGGGCCCAAGACTCACCTGGCACTGTGTGCTTCCAGGACCCAATGCACAGTTTGATGGTATGTGATTTTTAGCTTTTATACCTCCATGAAAATCCAAGAGCAAGGCACCAAATTCATGATGGCACCAAGTCCAGTGGCTGCTGGGGCATACAGGCTAGATAAAATGTTATCTTTATCCACAAAAATAGTATTTAACAAAAGTCACAAATCTGGAGGGTTTTAGCCCAGCTGTTGAAACCCCTTTGTCTTGCATCATAGTACCCAGGTTCATTCCCTACCCCTCACTCCAGCTTCCCACCAGTGCAGACCTTGGGAGGTGGCGGGGGAAGGCTCAAGTAATTGGGTTTCCTGCCACTCAGGTAATGGACCTGGACTGCATTTCTGGCCTGGCCAGGGAATTTGCTGTGCTTCTCAAAAACAAAAAAACCACCGTTGTTCCATTGTGGGGAGCAACTGAGACTAGACTAAGTTACTGGAATTAAGACTTATTCTATGCATCTGCTCTCCCACAATACGGCGCTGGGGAGGAGTAAACTTCTACACAGCTGCCTCTCACCAATTTGACTGATAAGCTGCAGGAGCTGATCCTGCTCCTGATTGGAAGAGAGCAGTGTGCTCAGCGTCTGGGTAGCAGAGTTGGGATTGGTGGAGAGGACTATAAAGGAGGAGAGAGACAACGTGCACCAGGAACATCTGAAGGAACATCTGAGCAGCCCCCGAGAGAGCCGGCTGGTGGTGTGTGCCGCTCCTCCGCGGAAGCGGGGAAAGTGGCAGGGGGTGCCGCCCCTCCACGGAGGTGGAGGGGTCGGCAGCCAACCCGGGAAGGGCCAAGCAGACAAAAGAACAGAGCAGGGTCCTGTGTCGTTCCTCGGCAAATGGGGGAGCGACATTCCATCAAATATTGTAGTCGTACTATGTAAAGCAACCTTCTTTAAGACATAAATACTTTAGCAAAATGAGAGCTGCTCTCTGTTACTGAGTTGATGGGTACTAGGCAGTACTCATTTGTCAATCCTTGGGGTATGTACATACCTGAGCATAGCCTATGTAGGTGAAGAGACAGGAAGTTCAAAAATGGGTTTGTTTCCTCAAAACTAAGAGCAACACAGCAATCCTTCCGATAGATCAAAAAGATGGAACTTGAGGGATGACAAGCCCCCCACTAAAAGACAAAGTTCTGTAGAACGTGAGGTCCCATTCATAGAAACATGGTAGCCAGGGGCTGGGTGGGGAGAGTTTTCCCAGGCAGACTTTGAGTTTTGCAAGGTGGACAAGTTCTAGCCATCTGTGCATAAGATGGCTCAGGCAACAAAGTTTATGCTGCATCTTTTTTCCGCAATGTTAAAAAGTGCTTTTTGAAGTCCTTTATCCAAGGAATATACTCCTTTTGGGTAATGATCACACACTCAAAAAAGCAATGGGGATCCTTCTATCTGCTGCCTATATGATTGATTTGGGACTAAGCATGAGGAAGACAAAGGACCAGGGATACTGGACTCAGGTTGAATCCCATCAGGGCCGAGACATGAGAGAGGAAAGGAGAAAACAGGGAGGTGTCAGGGACTGCGTCAGAGACGTTACCATCTGGTACAGATGTGAAAGGCACACAGACTCACCCTGTTTCTAAGTTCCGTGCTTCTGGGGAAACAGGTGTTGATGGGCCCAGTCGAAGGAGACCTTAGGAAGCACTCCAGAGTGCTCGGGGGCCTGGACATGCCCACGGTATACAGCATGGGCTGGAATAAGCCACACCGGTATCCAGAGGGAAACCAGCCAAGAAACTATCAGTCCACTTCAGGTGTGGGACAGAGACTGAGTGAATTTCATAATTCCTAGTGCAACACTGACAAAAAGAATCCAAATCTATCCAGGCACTAAAGTCCGTTGTCACTCACAAGCCTTTCTGGGTTGCGTCTCCTCCTCGCTCCCTACTTCTTGAACTCTATGGTTTTGGGCTCAGGCAGCTCTACTGTTAACCTGTAAGCGCACAGTCTGGTCAAGGCATGTCCTGAGCATTCCTAGGCTCACTAATGCGACGCCTGGAACTGATAGGGAGGAAAGAGGCTTAACGGATTTAATGGCCATCTGACAGCGTGTTGACTGGCAGACATGGTGACCTGCTGTCTTGCTCCTTCATCTCCATGAATATGAGAGCGTTAGGCCAAAAAGAGGAACAGGTAACTGAGGTATCCTTGAAGTCAAAGTGTCTGCCCCTTGGTTAATTTGTACTCGGAGATTTGCTGACGATGGAGGGAGGAAGTAAAGCATCACAATTCAGCTGAGGAAAAGGCCTTTTTACAGAGCAATTAGAGGCAGCTATGAACTTTTCTGTTTTTATTCAATCAGTAGTTTACAGTCAGGAGAATACAATCCAATACCCAGCTTCAGAAAAAGCAGAAGCAGTACTACCAGCCTCTCAGTCTCACGCTACATGACTGACTTGAATTCCTCCCTTGGTCAGGGGCCACGCCTTGAAGGGAAGTGTGAGTAGGAGCTGGCACGGCCGTGGCACAAAGATAATTCAGACATACTCAGGTCTCACAGACACTAGCATGTTACTTGTAGACGCCACGAACGAACCCCAGGCCCAGCGCGAGCTGTTGCTGACCTGAGAGCCCTCCAGGTTGAACGTCTGAGCGTTGTGGCAGAGGAGCATGACATCCTTCTCCAGGTCGCCCAGGCTCCGGTACTTGTGGTTGCGGATTCTCTCCTGAAGGAAACGGTGGATCCAACAGTCAGCGGTGGCTGCACAAAGCCTGATTTTCCCTTGGGCTCCAGAGCTCTTAGGGCCCTGCCAGGAGGGTGAGAACACTCAACCCCGGGGGCACCTGCCCAGAGACCCCACGATGGGAACTGAGTAGTCTCAGTGAAATCGGAGGGTCCTTGCAGGGAAAGGCACTAGGCCGGCGCCTCCTGGTGGCAAGGCGTGCCCTGAGTGGGCGCCCGAGGTACAGTTCTCACCCTGGCTCCTCGATTTACTTACACAGTAACGTGGGTCAGCACAATGCCTACCTTTATTTTTTTGAAATCCACTGGCTTCCTAATCAGTTCATAGTATTCTGGTAATTCTTTCCTGGAAGGTAACTGAATGAAGACTTCGCTGAGCTGCCGCCCTGAACTGTAGGATGGGTGAAACAGACAGAGACAAGGCAGGTCAGGTGCCACTGAGGACAGAGTCGCTGCACACCACAAAACGTCAACAACGCGCACTGCGTCCTAGGTCAAGGCAAGGAGCACCTCGCGGCCTCCCTGGAGCTTCACGCCCCTTGGACCAGCCTCAAAACCACGACACAAATGCAGTCCCACTTTCATCCCACACATACTCCATGTGGGAAGTGCACCATGGGGTGTTCTTCCAGAGCAAATCCAACTCCTCAACTGGACAGAAATATTTAGAATAATCTATTGGAGCCAAACTTCCATTTTTTTTTTTTTTGGTAAAGAAAAACATCTCCATATTCACTTTATGTTTAGAACCCAGCGTGAGATACTGTGTAAGAACCCCCTGTGGAAACGTGGAGGAAAAGGCTGCGTGTGCACCTGGGGACTGACTCCCTTCCCCCGTGTGCCACCCGTGTCGTTATCATTGTTTGCCCGGGGAGCTCCTCCTCGCTGCCTAACTGGGCAAGACGAAGCTCAGCAAGTGTGGCTGCCTCCTGCTCCTAAGACGCGTGCTGAGCCCTCCCCGGGGTCGTGGGAGGATGGGGTGGGGGGAACCAACCAGCACTGCACACTTTATCATTTGGAAAAACACGCAGCCAAGCCGTGCAAGGTTTTCACATCACTGTCAGTCACTGGACGTGCGACTGGCTGCAGGGAAAAAAAACGATAGGCATCATTCAGGTCCAAGAGCCTAATGTCTGACTTGGCCCACCCAGATCAAGAACAGCTTGCGAGGTGCGCTTTCGTCGCCATTCACAAAAATCTTTCTCCCCTCTCCGCTTCCTTTTGTGAAGCCAGAAAACATCACAAAAGGATCATAAATCTCTGCCCTGTAAATTTCAGATGGTGATTCCAGGAGAGTGTGTGTGCGAACGCGAGAAAGCAGCGGCAGAGCGCGAGTGACAATATGCTGTTTTAATCCACAGTCCCAGTTGTGTAATTAAAAAATAATCATAATGACAGTTATCATAAAAAAGGCATGCGCAGTAACTCAAACGGTTGCCTAGCAACCAGTGGGGAAAATGCTGAAGTGCAAAGGGGCCTGCATAAATTAACCGAAAATCCTCTGTCAAAGGGAGGGGTGCATTTTTCTGCGGTACTGGGTCACTGTTTTGTTTTATTTTTTAATGCATATAGGGGCCTCATGAATACTAAAATCGGGACTGAACACAAAAGGTTTACAAGGACGACGGCAGTGGCTGCAGTTTACTAGGGAATTGGATTTTTAGATGACTGTGGCAAGAACCAAGGTGTTCCCTCCCCACCACCTCCACCCCCTCCCTGAGTGGAGAAATGCATTTGTACTTCCCTCAGTTGCACTATGGAGGAGCCTGTGACAGAGACTATTGTATTTATGGTCTCCTTCACCCCAGGGTCCTGATTGCCACTCTGCTTTTTCTACAATTCTGAGACTGATGTGTAATCCACCATTTTACCTGTTTGGAAGGCAGGAAAGACGACATTATGGATAACAATGGTTCTCTTTTTATATGTAGCACTTTATGACCTAGTATCAACCCAGGAGTCGTCCCTCTCTGTCATCACGTAGGTAACCCCTGACCACCCCCCATGACATTTTCACCCTGTCATTTGCTACACTGCCAACAGATGGTGTCATTTTTCTATTGACAGATCACAAAGCACCTTCTTGCTTTGTGCACCTGTCACAGCCATACTCCTTGTTTCAACTGTTGCTACTGCTGCAGTAAGAAAGAAGTGGTCTTCGCCATCCAGCTCTTTCTCAGAGGGGCAAAAGACCTACACCTAAACCAGCCCCGTCTCTGTCCTCAGTCAGGCCTTAGACATCCTAGACCCTGTAGTTGTTTGTGCTCATAAACGAGTGCGCTACGTGTTCTGACCCCAGGGCCAATGCTGTGAAATGAACACAAGGGTTCCGTTTCCAGGGTAAAGCCTCACTGCGTGCCATAGTCCTCCCCACCCCTTCCACCAAGAGAGGATGTGGACAACAGGAGGACCTGAAGGCCATCTACGAAGGCCTTATTGGGACTACCCTGCCTCCATCGTCACTCGCCCACCACAGTCTGTGTTTCCAAGTCTGCAAGGTTATGTACTCGCTCTCTGCTAGCCCACTCTGTGCGACTGACTAGCCTCTCTCCGAAGTGTACCCAAGTACCGTGGCCAATCCCAACACAGGTCTCCAGGATTCTTGATGCTCGCTCGCTCTTCAAATACTTTAGGATCCATCCGGAATCAAGAATCCATTCTCCATGAAAGCAGGGAAATCTCTTAAATATCACTTACACTTACTGCGAGTGTGTCACTGCTTAGAACTTCCTTGTCTGTCTTCCCCACACATAAGCAGCCTGCAGTCACATGCCTTCCCCTCTGAGCACTGGCCAGCTGAGGATGGAGGTGTTGGCATTACCCTACAGCAAGCAAGCACTGTGGACAGTTTGCTATGGTACTGCAGTAGGAACTTGGATTTTATTACAGGCATGAAACAGAACAGAAGTGAAGAAGCCTGCTAGAGTTTGGAATGTCTAGTATTTCTTTCTCAAACCTGAGCTGAGAAGCAGCTTTTTAAATATACCTTTTTGGATTCTTTTTTCAAGTGCAGAACAATGGAGTAATTGTACAAATGTTTGTAAAAGGTGATCTGCTTCTGTTGAAAGGCTTATCCTACTCCATGGTACTTTCCATGATGTCACTGTACACACTCCCAGTGCTCAGTATAAAGCACTACTTCAAAGTGCACCATTTCCCATGCCCAAAATGTTACCCCACCCTCCAAGGTTGCAGGCCACCTGTGCAATGATCTCAAACTAAGAAGCATGCCTCTGATAAGACACAGGGCCGGGAAGGTGTGGAACCGACCGCAGAAAGTTAAAGGCACACACTGGACTTGGAGTCCCCAGGTGCAGGTGGGCAAGCACCTTACCTCTCTGTGGCATGGCCATGATGGCACAGCCTGTGTGGTAGCAAAGTCCTGGGTATCAAGATTTCAAATGCTGCTTGTAAACCTTGCATGCCTGACTCACATACATACACACACGAAGGGGATTCCATCCATTGGGAACCAACTTTTTTCCTATCACCTCCACATACCATCTTCCTTTGGCTCTATAATGGTGACTGCATGCAGTATACATTTTAAATAACATTATGTTTTATTACATTGTAGGTATAGTTGGGGGCATGACGCAGGCCATAATATCAGCTAAGCAACACCCCTTTAAAACTGGGCATAAGGGGCAGGTGCTGTGGCACAGTGGGTTAAGCTGCTGCATTCTACATCGCACTGGCTGGTACTGAGTCCCAGCTCTGCTAGAGGATGGCCCAAGTGTTAGGGTTCCGGCCACTCCTATGAATTTTAGGCTCTTGGTTTTCTGGCCCAGGCCCTCAACTCTTGTGGGCATCTGAGGAGTGAACCAGAGGGAAATTATCTTTCTGTAGCTTTCTGCTTTTCACATAACTCTAAATCAAGAAGATTGATACTGTGTAAGGTTTTTTTCTTTTTCTTTTCACTTTCATTCCTAATATATATTTCTAAAAAAAATGATAAGCAAAGGTGCTTTGTTCATTAACGAAGGTAAACTGTAACTATTTTGCCTCTGTGAGAAAACGATGCGTTACTTGAGGTTGGAAGGATTTGACAGTGAAGTTCTTAAGACCCTCATGGAACCAGAGGTAATCATTTGGAAGGAAACAGCACAAACAGGGTCCCACGGCAGCAGGGGAAAGCAAACTCTGCCTTTTCAAGGTCAGGTTCCTGTGCAGTTCAACATACTACAGAGAAATGGGCGCACCCATAGTGGCAGGCCCCTTTACCCACAGGCCCCCAGAACCTTGAGGCAATCCTGGGAGAGTTATCACCGGCACCTGCACTCCACGCTCACATCCAGCTCGGATATGTGATCTCCTAGCCCCCGGAAGCAGGAGAGCAGCACTGGCCCAGCACAGAGGGACGGCCAGCTGTCATGAAGGGCTGCAGCCACGGCCCTGAGTTTCCACAGTAAGAAAACACGGAAAGCACCCAGGGCTTCCCCAGAGTCCTAAACACAACCGCGCTCCGTGACATGCTTCCATCTGGTGCTCCAGCCTCAAACGTGACCCTTGAACGGTGTGCACCACAAGCTGACTGAAAAGGCTTCACAACTCGGGATAGGACAGGTGATGCAAAGCCAGGGTCTGAAACTACATGCGGATAAAGAAAGACAAAAACGGAACTTAGGACATTAAATGTGAAAACCAACAGGATAAGGAAGTTTAAGTACAGTACAGCCTCAGCCAGGTTTTCAGAGAGGGATAGAAAATGCAGAGGACCTACACCCAAGCATTACTAGACATCAATAACAATGTTCTCTTGTTCAACAGAATGAAGATTTATAATCGAATGTAATTTAAAATCACTCATAAATAAAAACAGCTTGCAACACACACTTACTGGGCTACTTTCACTGAAAATATGCTATCTGTCAAAAATCTAATTTTTCCCGGAGAAATGTCTACAGATCCTATATCCACCTGTTTATATCACCCTAAACACTGTTTCCCTAATTGGCACCTTTTAATTCTCCCATATAGTTAATTACCCCAAAATTGTGTGTGACATTGCAGCCACGGAATCTACCGTGGAACGGTCCCATGCACTTCCTCAGAACGGCTTCAATGCGTTTATTGCTACAAACCCCAGGGTCTTCGCAGCAGGCCCTGAGAGTGTGGCTTCCAGGCGAGCTGTCTGAGCACAGGCTTTGGACAGTTACCCCCATATCGCCTGACTTTCACAAGTATGGACCCAGAAACATCTTGTGTGCTTTCTCACTGTACCTTTCTGAACTCGCTGTCCATCTGTCTGTGTGCTGCTTCCCAGGCCAGCCAATCCATCAGCTTTCGCCAAAAGAATGCCCTCCTTTCAAAATTAAGGGCCTGAGCTTCCCTTCCACAGAACATTCTGTCCTTAGAGCCTGCTCTGCGCCTCCCTTGCATCACGGTGAA